ATCAACTAAGTAATAATATTTTCATATGTGCTAAAAATATATAATTTGTGTTATACTAACTTTTTAATATCTTATTACTATTCTTCAATGGGGTATGTTTTAATAATGTAATTAAAATGAATTTATCATTGAAAATAGTTTGTTTGTTTTTACGTTAAAGGTACATTTGAGGCTATGACTATATTAGGAAGGATTTACCAAAAGAACTATTTACGGTTGGTGCTTCCCATAAAAAGAAAAAGAAAAAGAAAAAGAAAGTGAAAATATTTTAAAATATTTCGATCATAATGAATGCATTATTTTAAAATATATGTTACTATAATTTCTAACCAATTTGATCGTATCTAGGGTTGTCATAGGAGCAATAAAAATCTTAAGGGTGTTTCCACGGTTCCATCTACAAATTGTTGCTATTAGTTTCGATCGACGATCTTTTAAATCTTATGTTCACGCTTATGATTGTTAATATATTTACTTTCATTTTAGATTAAATAGATTAGAGTTAGTTGTAAATTCAACTTGTCTTTTTATGACCGCATGAAGCGCGGACATATTCACTAGTTTTGAATAAAACAAAAGCGTTAACAGAAAAGGTGTCCTATTTGGAACTATCACTTTGTACGATACATTTTCATTTCTTTGAAGAAAATATCACTTGCGACTTTGAAGAAAATATCGCTTATCTCATCTTATTGTTAGATATTTATTTTAGGGTCAATTAATTTGGGTTGCTATCATAAAGTCTTATTTGAGGATTAAATGCTCTCTACCAAAGAAGATTATTTTTTAGGACACTAATTCAGTTTTTTTTTTGTTTAAAAATGAAGTATTTACCACATATCATAGCTTTTAGGTGATCATACTATATAAATCATTGAATACTAATCAATCATTACATCACACATCACTCTATGTAGCTTCCCCAAGGCCTAAGGTAAAGTTATAATAATTATAAGTCTCCGTCTCAAATAAATTGAGATTGATTAATTATATAAATTTTCACTGATTATATTTTTCCATTTAAGTACCTATATCATGCAAACTATAATAGAAGTTCTTTATATTTTATACCAACATAAAAATCTAACTAAATCTTTCGTTAAAAATATAAATATGTTTACTCAATTGTATAATTTCTTTCACTAATTCTGCAAGTCCAAAAATTTTTCCAGAGGCATATAATTTAATTCAGAATAGAGAGTATGTGTACTCTTACAACGATCTAAATTTAATAACATGGTTTATAATCATATATTTTCAAGTATTTAATATTTACTTAAAGGAAAAATGATCTGATATACCCTTCAACTTTACAAAAATATAAACAAAAACTAATGAATTTGTACTCAAACATCAAAATTCTTGAAATGCGTGCTTCTCTGAATTATTCAAACATCAAAATACCAAGAAATTGAGAACCCTTTAATTTGTAGGGACTTTTTTTCCCAATACAGTGTTCGATATCTATATTAGGGTCCGATTAATGTCAAAAAGTTTCATAGTAAAGGTAGAGTGCTCCTAACAAAAAATATTTTAATTTGTACCAACCAGAGACGTTGTAGGATTTTTTTTTAAAATTTCAATCTGATATTTGATATCTGCATTGGAGCTCTACTATTACCGACAGGGGCGGACCTTCCTTGTTGCAAGTGGGTTCATATGAACCCACTTCGTCGAAAAAATACATTGTATATACATATATATTCAATCTGTTTTTTGAAACAAAACACTATATATATTTAATTTGACCCCACTTAAACCAATAGTAACATGTAGCCCAGCGGCAAAGAAGTTACAATTTGACTAATACACGCGGGTACGATTTCCACCTACAACATTTAATACTGCTTCATTTTTTTTTATATGTTGAACTCACTTGATAAAATTTCTAGGTCCGCCACTGATTACCAAAGTCTCACATTACTCGAATTTGAGAACTTTGTGGGGGATTAATAAAGAAAGTCTTATTATACAGTTGATTGAAAATTTTGGTTCATATTTGTTGAAAAGTCTAGTGCTATGACTTTGTAGTTAATTAGTAACAACCAAATATTGCTGCCAACGTGAAATAGAAATTCATAACGTGAAGACGAATCCTTTTTTTATAATATTTTTCTGGTCAAATTGAGAAATGATTTCAAAATTGGGAAATTTCTTTATTTCCAATTTGTTACGCTATCTATTTTCTTGTTATAATGGAAAATCTTTATCTTACAAAAACGATTTAACGTATTGAAAAAAAACTACATATTTATATATTTTGCTAATAATTAGGTTTTGTTGTTAATATGAGAAAATATATATAGTATACGTCATGTAAGACAATTTTTTCTTACTTCGTCATTTTATGCAAAGTTGAACTTAGACGATAGTTGTTGTGATTTTGACATTTTGTGCCAAGTAAGGAAGTTTATATGGAAATCAAGAAAAATTCAACGGACGTGAATTTACAATATAATAAATATATTTACGTAAATTCAATAGTTTAACATCAGATTTTGTATAGGTATTAAAAATTCACTAATATTTGACAGTGACACAATTACTATCATATATTAACTTAAGATCTTTATAGAAATTTATAGACTTCAAATTCTTGATCGTCTTCTGTCCATTATATCAATAGTATAAAGAAAAATTAAATATTGTTCTAGTTTCTAATTAAGATACTCATTTTAGGATGATAACATATCAAACATTAATAATATATTTACTCACCTACTTACAAGAAATTAAATCTGACCCTTTAGGTCAAACTTGGAAGTTGTGGCTCTTTTTTCCTTTAAAAGGGGAAATTAGATTTGGTACGTAACATGTGAATTATATTATAACTAAAAATATGTGCAAATGGACACTAATTGAGTAAATGCATACTCCCTGTCATCTAATTTATTTGTTGCGGTAATTATAAATATTTGGTCCAAAATACTTGTTAGTTTTAAAAATAAAATATAATTAATTTTTTTCTATCTAAAAATTAAAAAGTGTTTTTAAATGTATTTACTTAAACATACTTTTGGAGAGAAATTACCTTTTTAGCTTCTACTATTTTGGAAAAACCACTTATTTTCTTTCGTAAGCTTAATTAAATACTTTACTTTTCAAATTAAACATCATCTGAAAAAGATAAATATTTTTTACCTTTTAAAAATTTGGTCAAATAGGCTATAAAATTATTTCTTTAGTGGGACCACTATTTACATTTAATTTTTTCCTTCCTATATTCACTATCCATTTCAGCTCGTAAAAATTTCTCATGGCTAAATTTACTTTACGTACGCAACAATGTAAATCAACAAAAAGTAGTTAATGGTAAATATTTGGCTTAGTCAACCAACTTGACTTTTCTCTAATAATAAAATAAAATAAACGGTATCGTTTAAGCATTTAACTTTTCCATAGGAGGGTCGGTGCAAGGATCGAAGGAAATTACAATGTGTAAAATTGAATTTTTATTAATAAGGTGATAGTTCAGATAGTCGACCGACTTGAATTATACTTTATAAACCACAATAATATATACATTTAGCATTTTTATTTCCTACTTGGTGTTTGATATTCACATTAAAGCTCAATTCATACGAATTTACATGCTTCAACTAATATGAATTTGCACATCCCAAAAACGTATTTGTGGGATTTATGGATACTACTAGGGAACATTAACGGGCACCTAAAATAGAAAAATAAAATAAAAAATAAATAAAAAATAAATAATAAAATAATAAAATAATAAAATAATAAAATATATATATATATATATATATATATATTCTCATTAGACAAAATTAGGAAAGGTCTTACATGTCTATTTCAACATATTAAATGCAAATTGCCATTACATCACTCTATGGCCTATGCCTCTAAACTCTTAGCTATTAATTCTCGGGATTTAAGATGAAAAAACTTTACAAAAAGAAAAAAAGTCAAACTGAGTTTATTTTCTGTATGCTAACCATGTAATATATATATATACTGTTTGACAGAGCCGAAGTTAGGAGTTTGGAGGTTCACAAGTTAATATACATATATTTATTTAATTTTCTAATACAAATATAAGATCTACGAAAAAGCTAGTGGGTTCGTCCGAACCCATGAACCCCACTAGCTCCGGCTCTATATATATATATAGAGAGAGAAGGCATCTTCAAGTCAATTATATTTAAGTTTAACTTGACGTAATTTGTTAAATTATAATGTTATTGTATATTATCACTTTATATCGTCTTTTGGAAGATAAATCCAAAGTTGAAGTAAGAAATCATTTTTTTTAAATTTGAATAGGATAGGTTTTGTGGTTATTCAAGATGGCTCAGTTGGTTTGGAGGGTGATTATCCACACGGATGACCCGGGATTGATCCCTCCTCAATGCCTTCTGAGTCGAGCCTGTCGCATAGGGCTTGCCTAGAGCGGTTTACATCTCCTGTGTAGTTTGCAGGCTATTACACAGTGGGGGGTTTACCCAGTACGCATTTATGATAGTACAAAACCTTTTTTTTTTTGGAACCCCGAATAACCCGCAACCACTACAATTTCTGCCACAGCCTCTGCCCTTCGGGTGAGCAGTGAGGGGTTTACCCAGTACGCACAAAGTGCTCACCCGAAGGGCAGAGGCTGTGGCAGAGATTATAGCAGCTGCGGGTTATCCGAGGTTCCAAAAAAAAAAAAAAAAGGTTTTGTACTATCATAAATAAGTACATCATTACAATTTACATATGTATATATATTTTTGTATAAAGAATTGTAAAAGCGGAGGACATTCAAAATTATGGAAAATAAAGGTCAATATTCAACAAGTCAATCACTTTGAAAATACGTACTTCTACATCTTATTGGTTTCTCATTCTATGTCTCGTGTCCGATATCCACATTAGAGTTCAGTTAATTTGAATTCACACTGTATAGGATTTATTCGTGAAAAAATTTCTATATCAAGAGTTTTCCATACTTGGGGAACTATAATTCGGAAACGAAGAAAAACAAAAAAAAAGATAGTTAGTATATGAGTTGTTTTCTTTCATTTTCACATAGTTATACCAAACCAAGACAACCTTACCTTTAAATACCTCTTATATTACCCAATAAATAAGCATCCTTACTCTCACAAAATCCACCACATCACAACAACCACCATGGGTTTTGATGATGATGATCCTCCATTTTTTCATAGAAAAAACAAATATGATCTTAATAGCAAGATCATGATAACAGCCATAATTTCATTATCTATAGTTATTTTCTTCGTTACTCTCCTCCATGTTTACGCGAGGTGCGTCCTCAGACGTCAGGCTAGACGTAGGGCGGAGCTTCAACGCATCAGCATCATCACCAGCTCTGCCCTACAGGTCGAGCCCCCAAAGACGGGGCTCGACCCGTCCGTCATAGCTTCGCTACCGGTATTTATTCTCAAACAAAATGATATTAATCAAAATAATTCAATTGAGTGCACGGTTTGTTTGAGCGCTCTTGAAGACGGAGAAACGGTTAGGAAGTTGCCTAATTGCAAACATGTTTTTCATACTGAGTGTATTGACAAATGGTTCGGGTCACATTCAACGTGCCCGATTTGTCGGACTGAGGCGGAGCCCCGGTTGTTACAACCGGAGCCACGTGAGGGCGTGGTAGGACCTACCACGCCCTCAGCGCCACCAATCGAGGGTGGCGATTCGACAAATGTGGAAGATTGTGGATTAGCACAAGATTCAACATCATCATCAGCTAAAATTAATGGATCAAGTTCGAGATTAAGCTCGTTTAGGAAGATGATTAGCATGGAAAAATCATCAAGAAGATTACATGTTCAATTTTGTGGTGTTGAAGAGGGTGTAATTAATGATCTTGAAAGACAATGATTAATAATTAGGTATGAATTATACGATGTTTATTAGTTCAAATTCGAAACTCTATTGTGTTTTCATTTCTTATTTTTCTCCCATATCTTTCTTGTACGTACACACACAAATTATGTCAAAATTAAGTAGATTTTTTTTATTGAAGAAATAAGAATATTTTATTGATAAATCAATGTGGATACAAATCTGTTTTTTTCTCTTGATTCTTCTCTCATAAGGTTTCTCCGTGATTCGAGGGTCATTAGTGGCGTATTTCTCGAATTAGGATGATTTGAACTTGATCTCCATAATTTGAGGGTTGTTAGTAGCATATTTCTCGAACTAGGATGATTTGGACTTGATCTCCATAATTTTAGGCCGTTAAGTGGCGTATTTCTCAAACTAGGATGATTTAGGTTAATCTTTTTATGAATAAAGTAATATTAAATGGCCAGAAAATTCAAAAGTCTATAATATCTTTTTTATTTTAAAATAAACTAATATTTTTTCCATTTTTAGTTAAAAGGTATTAAAGTTAAAAGGGTAAATGTTCAAAAAGGTAAAATAACATAAGTAAATTACCATTCTGGCCAAATTTTCTGGCCAAAAGGATTTTTCCTTATGAATATTTCAAGAGTTTATGAGATATTCGAGATTTTGATCTCTTTATGAATATTTAATGAATTTGTTGTGGAATTTTCAAGATCAAAATTAAGTAGATAATACTCCAGCCAAAGTATTTTACCATTGTTTTTTACGAACTCGTATTTTAATTTGTTACTTTCTTTGTCTCAATTTATGTGATATACTTAGCATTTCAAACTTCTAAACTTTCACCGTGAATTCATTGCGAAAATTAGTAACATGTGATATACTAAGTGTAAAAGTCCAATATTCCGGCAATAGATATTAAGTTAAATACTAGGTTAAAAGGAAGTTAATTAGTAGAGGGTCTATATTGGATTAATTAAGGTGTCTATATGATATATATACTAAAGTCCAAGAAATGTTTGTGATATTTGGTAACCTAAATATGAACGTGATAATTAGTCAATAATTAGTCACATTGACTAATTAAAAAGAATCCAAGAATTAGGTAAGTCTGTTCCATTTTTTTATTTTAATTAATTATCTAACATATGAACTGGTCGCACATGTTTTGTGTATTTTATCAACCATTGACTTTTACAACTACAAATTTTATTCCATAAATAAAGTTTGTTCAAACTTGGCCAGTTCATTTTATTTTCCAAAGCCAGACATTTAGGAAAAGAGAATATAATGTCTAGTAATTTGATTTCACATTTGTTAAGCTTCCTTCATATACCGAATTGTCTTTTTTAGAAAACGTTTTATCTTTTTAACGTGGAATTTCTTGACGCAAATTTTAATTTATTCAGATTTCAGTGCAAATATCAACACAGAATCAGAATCATTCTATTAGTGTCTTTTATCTCCGTCCAATTTTTTTCCATCCAATTTTCGAGCAAAGCCTTGAAAGGCTCCGGTTGGTGACTTTTATTTTGTTTGTTTATTTACTTACTTTCTCAAATAAGTGTCGTTTTAGCAAAAAATAAGTATTTGCTTTAAACATTCAAGACAAAATATAGTAATTGCTTTTAATTATTTCCTTAAACTAAAGAATTACTTCTTTTTAATAATGCTCAATTCTCAAAAATATCTAATAAATAGGAGTAATTTAGTAAACTATACATTATATTTTTTTAAAAAAATATAAATGAAATAAGCTAAAACAACCCTTATTTGAAACAAATAGAGAATCTTCTTCTTTCCTTTTTTTTTACAACAAGGGAAACCCTTTGTATGTGCGCAAGACAAAACCCCACTTTTATACAATAGCTCGCAAACCACACAGGAGAGGTAACCCGCAAGCCCAGTATGAAGAACTCGATCCAGAAGGCTTTCCCTTGCTTTCGGGGTTTCGAACTTGAGACCTCCAACATAGAAGTCCCAAGCCCAAACCACTAGGCCACCCGAAGGGTCATAGGCTTCTTTTCTTTGAATGCCAAATTTTGTGAAACCCAAAGAAAAGAAGAGATCTAAGAGAGCTTTAATAAAAAAATAAAAAAAAGAGTTCCACTAGCCACAACAGATTTTTCGATTCTGTATATATAATGTAATTTTAGGGCAAAAGTAGTTCGAATGAACCCCTTCAGACTCTCTAACTCTGCACCTGAGATGGCATTGCATAACACACAACCTTAATACCTCAATCCAATTGGAATAACAAGTCACCATGAATCCAAGAAGAACCACAATAGCTAGTAATTCAATCAACACGCTCGATTTACAATGATAGTTCAGTACTTCAGGATTACATACCAACATGATTGATAAACAAACAAGAAGAATTATCGTCATGATATTTCTTCGATTATGGCTTCTACGATGTTGGAGAGGGCGTGGAACCAACATTAAATACCTGGAGCTTTTGAGCTCTCAACAAAATTGCCTTACGCTACATACTACATACAGTGGGAACGAGACTAAGATTCTTGAGTCATCAGAAAATAAGCTGACTTGCAAACAGCAAATTGATCGCCATCAAGATATACATCCACCTCCTGAGAATAGAACTGCCGCTACTCAAATCTTCAGAGGATGGACTTAATCCCCCATTCGTCGACCCACTAGAACTTCCACTTGAATTCTTGCTGCACAATGATGCACAAAGAACTATCTCAAAAGCTGAAGTCTATAATGAACTGAAGTAACTACAGATAACATGGATAATTTTGATAAGAACATGGACCTCGGGTTTAACTCAAACCCAAAGAACTGCGAGACCAAATAATCCAATGGGGCTTCGGCATAATAGAAGTGTGGATACCCCAAGATCATATGAATAAAACTCACGATGTATGTGTAGTGTCTTATGTTATTCAACTGGATCGAAGAAGATAATACATTCTTTTAGCAAAATTAAGCAACAGTCACCACATCAATAAAACAAGTCGAATCAATTACCATGTCTAACATAATTTCGAATTTAGAAGGCCTATATACAATATTGCAAATCTTTTTCTTTCTCTTTTCACTAACTTCAGAGGAAATCCTTGAACATGAAACTCAAAATCAACTCTGGCTTGATTATTTCTTATTATATTCCATTTTCCATTAAAAGTAATCAATAGAGGCAATCTTGTAACGTAGTGTGTTACGCTATTCAACAAGATTCATAAAACAAAACCAACCAAACAAGGCGTTCATGTTACTCTCTGTCATAACATAATTTCCATTTTCTTAGTCCCTAGCAGTGAATCCTTGAACATAAATCAAATTCAAAAGCACTTTCTGTTTTGATAATTTCTTATTCTATACCATTTTCCATTTTTAAAGTGATTAGTTACCACACAAAAACTCTACTGCCGCTCAAGTTTAACTCATTAGATTCAATAATACATTAGCTCACATAATACATAGATTTATGCACAAAAAAAGCTCCAACGTCAGTTGGTTGATGAATAAAGGCAATATGCATGTTTAGCCAAGACAAATATTTACAAGTATGAATAACAAATATATGTATAAGAAAATTGAAATGCTACAAATAAAGTGAAATATCAATTGATTAGTGTCGACTCTTCAGATGTACGCTCATTGACACGGCTCAACTTGTTTTATATCTTGCTTTAGGGCTTAAGCGCAATCTTTGATCATAACACTATTATTATAAACATCTGAAATAAAATAAAAAAATTGATATTGAATTCACATAGCAAACCTAATTACTAACTAAGCTACGGATTGGGGTAGGGTGTAAAATGGGCAGGTTAAACTAAAATTGAAGAGGTTAAAATGGATTGTACTAAAAAACGGATTGGGTTATGTCCCCCCTGCCCAAATTTACTTTGGGTTAAACTGGATTGAGCGAAACTAGGCTAAAACCCAAGTTGGATTATGACCCACTTACTCTAAACAATATTGGCATACTAAAAAATGAAAAGAGGACCCACTTACTCTAAACAATATTGGCATACTAAAAAATGAAAAGAGACCAAATCCACTGAAAGAAAATCCAAAAAATACGAGACTTTGAACCCAAGTCGGGACTTGAGACCTAGGTTCCGGGTGAAGAGACCCGACCCTGACCCCGACCTCGACCCGAAAGTCTAGAAATCAAGAATTGACCCCAACCTTACACAAGACGCAACTCAAGACACAAGATCTAACGCCAACCTGGGACCAAAGAACTAAGACCCAAAATCAACGAGGGACCTGGACCTAACCTCGACCCGAACCGAATCCAACCCTACCCAACCACCCTGACCCAGGATCTTACCTCGACATTGACTCTTACCTGAGACCCAAACTCTAGACCCAAGACCCGACCTCAATTGAGGCCTGAAACAAGACCCAATATTGGACCCCGATCGAGACTCAACCTAGCTAAAGACCTGGGACAAACTCGAAACCCGATGCAAAAACCCATATCAGGTTACTATCCATGACCCCAATACTTTAGATACCGAACCTCATCCGAGACTCAACCATGACTTTGATCATGATTCCAATCCTAGACCCGAGACCAACCTCAACCCCAATCTCAGACAAGAGATTTGACCCTGACCCAGACCCAATTCCAACCCTGATCCAGGATCGAGTTTCAGGTTAGAGTTGGGGTCTCGAGTATTGGGTCACTAACCCCAATACTTTAGATACCGAACCTCATCCGAGACTCAACCATGACTTTGATCATGATTCCAATCCTAGACCCGAGACCAACCTCAACACCAATCTCAGACAAGAGATTTGACCCTGACCCAGGGACCCGATTCCAACCTTGATTAGTGACCCAATACTCGAGACCCCAACTCTAACCTGAAACTCGATCCTGGATCTGATTCGGGACTCAATACTCGAGACCTCGAACCTAATTGGGACCCAACCACGAACCCTGACTCGAGACCCAGGATCCAACCCCGACCCAATCGAGGTCTGACCTAAGACCCAAGATCCGACCCCGACTTTTGACCCAAGACCTGGGAGTTGAGACTTGATGTGGCATGTTTACGACCACAATGTTAATGAATATTTTAGTACATTCTGCATATCTTTAATCTCTCTTTTCAGACCACAAAAATTAGAATGCCTTTTACTTTCTTAAATTTTGTATAGCTTGTATAGCCAAAACAAGACAAACAATTGAAACGGAGGGAATATTAACAATTTCGATTAGCACATAATACCCCTGCACAAACTAAATCAGACAGTTCATTTCCTCCTGAGTTGCTTTTTGCTCAATAATCAATTTCACTACCAAATATCTATTATTGTCATGAATCATTTAAGGCAAAAAAAAATCAGATCTTTTAGCACAAGGGATAACAGTTACCTGGATGGAAATTTACACCCATTATGACCTGAAAAAAGATAAATAACAATATAAATCACAATTCAAGTTACCAAATTACTACTAATAAGCAAATAAAAAGTTTCAAAAGTGGAAGTACTTACTTGGATTTATAGAAATGAGAGCAGCAGTGTTATCAAAATTACAAGCATCTTCAGTCATACCATGCTTAATAAAGTAATCATTGAACACATACGACGCCGTTTTCTGTATATCTTTAGGGTCATAACAGGATCCACCGGGCTGAATTGGCCCGCAATTAGCACCTCCAGGCCCACAAGCCCAATCAAGTGCCGATTGAAGAGCAGTATCCTCTGCGTTGTTCTTCGCCACGCACCACAACTCAACCGTCGCCCCTCCGCCTCCGCCGGTAGCAGTACCGCCGGCTGGAGCAGCACTAGTTCCACCAGGAGCAGAGCCAACGCCGCTCGGAGAAGTGACAGCGCCGCCCGGAGTAGTGCCAGTGCCGCCGGGAGTAGTGCCAACGCCGCCGGGAGCAGTGCCAGTGCCGGCGGGAGCAGAGCCAGTGCCGCCGAATTGGGCGGTAGAGAGGGTGGAGATTAGGGAAAATAGAAGAAGAGAGAATGAGAATTTGAGAGACATTTTTTGTGTTCTTCCGTTACTGGAATTGTATAAGAAACGGAAGAATTGAAAGTTAATGTTCAGAAACAGAGTGAGGATTTATATACTGAAAATATGACCGTTGGTGTTTTTGTAAGAGAGATCTGAGAAGTGCTGAGAAAAGACTACAGAATGATTGTGCCCAACTTAATTTTTTCTATTGGATTGCGACTAAATTTAAATTCCCTACATTGGGAGAAGAATGTTCCTAACAAAGACGATTACTAATCCCAAAAAACTTGAATCCAATACCTATAGTTAAAAATGAAGCAGTACTTATTATTTCATCACTATTCTTATTAGTTAACTTAATTTTTTTTCTATTTCCAAAACTCATTAAGTATGAAAGAATTTTAATCATCTCATAAAGTATGATATAAAATTGACTAGGTTTGACCTTCGATATGCATAACACTGAAATTTATGTACGGGTAAGGAAAGTTAGGTGTATAGTGTATTAAACTCACGCTATGTGTGAGGTTTAGAGGAGGGACAAGCCACAAAGGACTATTATATGCAATTTTAAATTGTATTTCTATTATAAAAAAAAGATTTCACAATTTGAATTTAAGATCTCTTTTATTATATAATAACATCTTTATCAATTATGTCAAATCTCATCTTCATTTTATCAACTACGACTATTTAATATTTGAAATTTACTAATTCAATTTCATAAAGTGTTTTTTTACTAAAACTATTGCAACTCATTTAGTGGAGAAATATTTTCTATCATAAAACTAAACTCTTTTTTATTTTTAAAACTTAAACCCGTGATAAATGCATAAGAAGTTTTATCGATCAAGTACATTGTACCCTTGTAATCAATCACACAATAAACTTTTTTTTGTCACCTATCCTCACTATGTGAATTATTGGTGTCTAATTTCATTTGTTGGAATCCATGTGTGACTTCTTGTCGGATTCGAGGCTTCTCTTTTTCCTTTTTCAAAGTGACAAAAATTATATTTTTTAAAAAAGACAATATTATTAACCTAATAATTTGTTAGAAAACCTAATACTATAAAGTATAAAGTTTGGGTTACTATCAAAATAGAAAACGACTCAAACACACGCCACTACTGACTAAAAAGAAATATGAATGAAGAGAAAGATTAAAGTTTTTTTTTAAAAAAAGAAGACCAAAACAGAAATAATGTATTTTCTCTTTTTTCAAAACCACCATCAGAATTAAAAAAAATGGAAAGGAGAAATTAAAGTAATATGCATTTTCTCCCACCGACAAGGAGTACAAGTTTTATCGAATAAAATTCACAAATAATCACTTTTTAGTTCCTTTATTTGATAAATAACCAGTGTCACAAAATTTCAAATCAATCAAATGAAAACTCATTACGTAATTATTTTTCAAAAATATAATTAAAAAGTAACCAATTTCTAATCTTTTTTTTTAATCTTTTCACCAATTTAGAGTTACTGTTCACAACGCGTTCTGTTGTCTTTTCCCTTTACTTTTTTTTCTTTAATTTATGACCTCTCCTTCCAAAAATAAAAAATAAATAGAAAAATTAATAAGCACGTTTCTTTTATTTAAAAAATAATAATTTGCATATTTTCAACAAATACTTCTCTTCCAAGTTTCGGTTTCACTCTCAAAAGATAAGTAGGAATGAGAAAAGTCATCATGTTAATTGCTCAATAGTGGTTACAATATTAAAGAGCAATTAAAAAGTTTTAAGTTACAAATTAAATTACTTACACCAAAAGAAAAAAGAAAAAAACTTTTCTTCATGTAGAAGTTGTGTCAATTTATTTCTTATTCATGAAGGAAACTTAAAAGTGAGCGAATGCTAATTAGGGGGTGGGGTTGCTCAATCTTCTTAGGGTCATTTGATAGAGTGTATAAAAATAATATTAAATAAAGTGTACTTTCTCAATTTATATTTATATGTCATTTTTACTTAAAATAGATGGTCATTAATATTTGTCATTTCACAAATACATAAATAACATTATTCTTCCTATTTTATCCTTGAGAGTTATTATTCTTTAAAATGTCATTGTCACCAACATAGAAAACTTAAATGATTAAGATGGTGTTTGGATTGACTTAAAAATTGACCAAACCTACTTTTAAGTCAAGTTTTGACTTCTGAAAGTATTTTACGGATGCAAAAATAACTTAAAATAAGTCAAAAATAACTGAAAACAAAATTAGGAAGTGTTTGCAAAGTTAAAAATAACTTGAAATAAGTTTAAAATGAGTTAAAGTAAATTTAAAACCAAAAATAGGTCTCCTCCTCCTTTTTATTTTTTGACTTAAAAGTCATTTAAGTTTGATTTTTTTATTTTTTGACTTAAAAGTCATCTAAGTTTGACTTTTTATTTTTGACTTAAAAGTTATTGTTTTTAAGTCAATCCAAACGGGCTCTAATTCATGTTTATTGTTCAATTTTATTAATCAAAATAAATTAATTTATGTTCATTTATTTAAAACTTGACTTTAAGAGAACATTAAATAAGAGTACAATATTAAACTTACCTAACTTCTTAAGGGACGTGAAATCTAAAATGATGACATATAAATAGGAACGGAGGGAGTATTAATAATGTTTGCATTAATTATACATAGATTATTTCTTATTTATTGTTTGATTTGGTGTAACAAAAATAGCATGCATTGTATAAAAGTATTTATTTACAAAATATTCTCCACAATTACTATAAAAAAGATGTATAAGATTTTTGAGGTAATGCATGCATTATATCTTCCTGCATTACTAATACATAAGTGTACCAAACAAGATATTACTAAATTATAGATCTAATGCATACATTATTATTACTTATATACTCTATAAAACGGCCCTTTATGGTATTAAAGATGCTAAGAATTACTTCAACAAAAACACAATTTAATAACAAAACGTATGCGATTATAACGTTTGAATTACCTATTTGGATCTATTAATTGTTTTGGTGATTGAAAAGGTATAATCAACTTGGCCTATGTGCGTACACTCCTACTTACTAGTGTTTTTTATCCGTTTTGAGCTCGAATAATTTAAATCTGCAGCTGAGTTGTGGTTTTGTTTTGTAATACAAATATATATGTTAACATGGTCTTTTGTGGCTAAGGAGAGTTTTGATGTTAGTTCATCATTCTAATAGCTAGTCCATGGGATCGGAGTACTTATGTTAATTGATTGTTTTTTCTTTGATAAAAATTGATCTTATCGAGTGTTTATATAAAATCATTAAATGTTAGATATATGTCTTCATAGACATATTCATCTGTCAACCTGATTAAATGATATGTATTTTTACTTTAAATATAGTACGTTATTAAGATTATTACTTTATTTGTGTGTAAATGACAAGTAAATATTTACGCTTCTCCTTAGATGCGCCTTTCCAACCAAAACGAGGGGTTCTAGGGAAACAGAACCAATGATGTCGAGCTAAGAGCACCTTCATTCCTACATAAAAATGGTGGATGTCCCAAGCTTTATCCAGAATTAATGTGTTTTGACTCATTATTTTGACACTTATGATCCTTGTTGACTTGTAATACTTTTAAGAAAAACTTTAATTAGAGGTGTATTTTACTAAACTGACCTTATTAATGATATTTTGGAATTTTAAATTTGATTATTATCCTACTTTATGTAGTTATTTAATATTCACAAATATTTTTGGAGTACTAGTGTAGAAAAAATATATACTATAGTAAGATTCTCTTAACTTCATAAATTGAAACAACTATTTTTAGCTAGCGTTTAACCATAGATTCCCAATTATTTTTGGCAAATATTATTTGGATGAAAAATTGGGTGAAATTTCACCATGTGTTTGGCGATAATATTTGGAAAACATATTTCACTTTTTTAAGAAATATAATTTATATCCATAAGTTTTGAAAACTGTCAAAACTAACCATAGGTTTGTATTACATAGCAAGATAGAAACGTCGACGTAACAAGATTCATAACCTCCGCAACAAGTCAATTGGATATTCGTTGCAGCAAATTACATGTAATGTTCATGACACTGGAGTAATGTGGTAGTTCGGAGTGAGTGCAACAAGCATCATTTTATACATCGTGAAGTAAACGAAGCACGTGACTTTATTACTCTGAGCCGATTATCTATCATTTTCATCAACAACCATATCATCACTTTCATATTCACTCAATATTCCATCACTGTTTTGGTGTTTACGTAAAAAATTATGTAATACAACGCAAACAATTAATATAGAAGATATTTTTGTAAAAGATAAGAGTTTGATGTAGAACTTGAATTTTTAAAAGCTCCCAAATAATGAAATTTGACCCAGATACTAGTTTTTTCTAGTATTTGGGAACTGGGTTATTTGTCAAATAATGACAAATTGTATTGCCAATTTTTTTTCCAAATTTAGTTGAAAAATCTATGGCCAAACGGGTCCTTAATATGAAGGTCAAGTAACATGAAATAGAGGGAATATAATATAATGATATACCATTGGTGATTCACAAAATTTAATATTTAAAGATCTTTAATTATTTATAATACATAAATAGGGAAAAGACATAAACTCCCCCATGAACTTGTTCCGAAAAGTCAATTTCACGCTTAAGGTATCATGACGATCTATTACACACTCAATCTTGTTTAATGTGAAATTAGAACCCCCTTCTAAAGATAATATCAGTTTTTGTGTGAAAATGTGTTATACACGCGTTTTGACACGTAAATAAGATTATTTTAATTTTTTTAAATCATTTTTGCTTGATATTTTCTTAGACTTTTGCAAAAAGTAGAAATTTAGGCTTTCTTCCTCCTCTCACCTTACATTTCTTTCTTCTTAAAATCCATTTCTTCTTTCTTCTTCATTATTCATAAATTGAAGGGAAAGCAAGAAATTTGAAGATAGAACGTGAGACAATAAGACAATTATGAAGTTTAGTGATGTTGGCGTCGACGATAGGCGGCGGGCAACATCAATGTTGCCAGTGAAACAAATAAAAACTTTCAGA